CCAGCGCGTGTCCACAGACTCTAAACACATGATGACGTCGACACGATGAAGGTCTTGTCCGCAGCGCGACAGCCCCTGACGTGCTCGTGACGTTTCCCCGACGTGCCACTGACGTGTCGCTGACGTGCCGAGCACAGCTGGGCTAATGAGCGAGTCCTGCGAGTTCTCGTGGTCGTGGGTCGTCGTAGAGACGTCAGCGCAGTCCTGACAGCCTCCCTCTCCCTCTCTCCCTCTTTCCCTCTATCTCCCTCACTCCGTGTGTGGAGGCTGGCGCGAACACTATCTTATTTTGACACTCTTGTGCGCCGCCCCCCCCCCGTCCCGCCCGCTGTAGGTGGAAACTTTTCGCCCGCGTACCCCATCCCCATCCTCCTTTCTCCCCGCGCAGTGAAGTATCGGCCGCCTAGGCGCTGAAACCTTTTGGTAATTTTTTTTTTTTTTGTTTTGGTTGGGGGGGGGGGGGGGGGGGGGTCATATGCCCCGAAGTTAAGGACGCCGGCGTGGAGTGGCTCCGTCGTTGGCTCAACCTTTTTATGATGGTGCCGTAGATAAGTCGGGGGCGCTTCCGGAGTGATGCACGGACCGATCATCTCATCGCCGATATCCGGAGCGTCTTTTACGCATCGATGAGAAACTTTTTTGATGGCCCGGAGACGCGTGCCACCCGCTGCGCTCGTGCTGCGCTGTGCGCGGTGCTGGGTAGGCCCGGCCTGTCCCGACATTCAACCCTTTTTCCGAAGTTGAGTTGAGCTTCTCGGATGAATACCCTCTTTTTGATTCCCACCCCGCGCGCCTTTCAACCCCTTTCTTTGAAAAGGAAACGATTCTGTCCAAACTCTTTGTGGCCGGGATATGACTGGGACGAGAGGGATATCCCCCGCTGGCCGGCCCATCGAAACTGTTTCAAACCCTCCGCCCCTTGGTCCGGCCCGGCCCAGCCCAGCCTGGCTCGTCGGCTGACTTCCACCGCAGCCCGGCAAAACTTTTTCTCCCCCTCGCTGACCAGCAGCGGCCTGAGGGCGGAAGACGCGCGTCCCGAAACAGAATTAGGCTGGGGCTAGAGAGGAGGGTCAGTTCCGTTAAGGAAAACAAACCAGAACCGATATCTTTTATTTTTATCAATAAAAACACGATGTCTTCTGGTTCAATAAAACCCAACAGAACGTTGCCCCTTCCCCCACCCCCTTCGACCCCAACGCACTCGCACCTGCTCCAAAGAGGCTTTGGAGCTGAAGAAAGAAGCTCGTGGTGGCAGCGAAGGGGAACGCGGAGCTTATCCATTTATACGGACACATTTCCAATGGTTCGAGGGTGGGCCGGGCCCAGGACATTAACCCCCCGCCCCCCTCCCCCACCCTCGTCCTACTGTCGGTGCTTTGTTCGCACTGCCAATAGAAGCGCGAGGCACGCGCTAATAGAAATAGTGTTGGATCTCGTCCAGTCGGACCGGCCTCTTCGAAATAGGCCGCATTCAACCCCCCCCCCCTTTCCACACTGCCATCGTCTCGCACCACTAGCCACCGCCTAGCTGGACCCGGCTGCTGGTTGTCAGCACCCCCGCGGCCCCTTACATATTGAAAACGTGGCTACGCGCGTCAAACAGCCTGGAAACAGCGAAGGGAAGCCCAACCATTTTAGAAGTCTGATTTATTGGGTCATCCTCTAATGATTAGCGCAAAAGACAGAAAAGTTGTGCTCCTGTTTTTTTTAAAACAGCACTGGACTACTGGACTCACTGACCAACAAAACGTTGCTAGGTCACACCTACCTTTGTACGGGCAAGGAAATCTGGAATTTAATTACTGACTGTTCTCAAAAAATAAGTACTCACTAAAAAGCCCTAAAGGTGCTAAAATTTGTGCCTCTTCCCAGTTTTTGTATTGCCATTTTTTAAGGCTTTACAGCATTATGTAGAATGACCTTCTGTTTTTCCAGTAAAGAGGATAAATTAGTGCCTCTTTCTAACGCTGCGCACATAACGCGGACCGCTATGGAAACTGGGAAAATGTTTTCCGTGGCCGCCGCTGTGGCGTGAAGGCCCACGCGGGTCCACTCCACGGCCCCCGTGCGGCGGCTGCGCACTCCGCCCGGCTTCGCTCGGCCGCCCCGTTCAGCCTTTGCTTTGACTACATCAGCCGAGGCGGGCGGGTCCGGGCGGGTCCGGGCGGGCTCGGCCCGTACGAGGCGGGCCGCTTACGGCTCGCGGCGGCCGGGACGTCGGGGCGTATTGCATGCGGAACAAGTTCATTCCGAGGGCCCAGTGTGCCGCCGGGCCGAGTTATTACTGTTGTGATAGACGGCCCGGGAGAGGAAGAGAGACGGACTCGCGTCCTGGGGGCTGTCCTTTCCGGAAGCTCAATTCCGGAAGCGTTACCCCCTCCCCCTGCTCGCCCCCTTTCCATCTCCGCTTTTATCTTTTATCCCCGTTTATTATCATTTGTGTATACGCCTGCTTACTCGCACGCTCCCAAATCTCAGAGTGGTCTCTCTCCAACTCGGGCTTCTAGTTCTGGGTGGCTCAAGAGATGGGCAGGCCCGCGCGCAGCGCACCGGGCTTGGTCCTCTGCTCCAATCGCCTTACTCTGTTGCCTGCGACGCGACCTTTCTCTGCT